TCCCTTCTTATTTTACCTTGGTTAGTACCTGCACATACCAAATGTGTAGTGTAAGTTCTGCTGACCCCAATGCAATTACAGACCCTGAGCATTTGTACCCTGGCATGCAAATGATACCCTCTTCCCTTTGCTGCAGAGATTCTTGTCCTAGAAATGGTGCTAGAAATCAGAGCACTTGCCCATTCATTAGCAGGTTAGCTAGAACCCTTGTTCAGGAAGCCCAGAGTGTATCATTGGCACTGGATATCAGGAATGTGAGTGTTTGAAAAATCTGTACATGTGAATTCAACTAAAATCTGAGAGTTGGTATTTGACTTATACAACAGCTAAACAGCTTTGAACTCCAGGCTCCCTCCCTCCCCTTCCTAAACTCAGTTACTTGTACTTATGGTCTTGTCAACTTCTGGAGAGCCTCCTGACCACAACATTCCCCTGGAGACCACCACACTGACTTTGCTCATTTCGCATGGTTGTTTTTTTTTTTTTTTTTTTTTTTTGGCCGTGTATGTGTGGGCATGTGAAGCAGCTTGCCCTTAATGGCAGCTTCCTCAGTAACTTTAGCCTGCAACTGAGCATGCTCCACATTACTGGCATTCTCTAGCTACATGTTTTGACCAAGATTTCACCTGTCAGAAGAAGGCCTGTTAAGAAGGAGCACAAACCAGGGTAATAGCATCAGTGAAAAGGGAGGGAGAAAGGAGAAAGACAGCCCAAGTTGGGTCTGTAGTGTGAGGTTTGGAAATGAGAATTAGGGATGTGAATGTGGTAATCCAAACAATGGGTGCCTTGCACAATCATTCTGTGGTTCAGTTGGATAGCATTGAGCAAAGCCACACTTTCATTTTGTATCTTTTTCCCACACACAGCAGACACATGCAGATAGCTGCGTGCTAGGACAAAAGGCTGTTTTTTTTCTCTTGGCAAAACTCAGGAAAAGGAGAGGGAGAGAGAGTACATGTGCACTTGTCCCACTCTTTTTAGCTTCCTTTTCCTTTGCAGTTCTTGCTGTGTGTGTAGCTGTCATCTAACTTTAATAGAGCATCCAACATGAGGCTGAGGCCTATACTGTTTACCAGGCTTCTGCACAGATTACGATTATCTGGATGTATGCATGCAATGTGTAAATACAGATGCTAGCCTCTTACTGTGAAAAATATTTATTTGACTTATTCATTTGCACTAAATCATTAAATACAATGCTAATATAATAGTAAGGCTATGAATTAGTAATATAAGAGTGCAGCTTTTCTTTTAAGCATCAGTTCTGAATTGATTCCAGATCAGAGGTAACAACTGACATCTCGTCTGATTAGAATAGGTTAGGGGGCTCAGTCCATTCTAGTTTACTGGCTGCCATGGATACTGAAATTTACCACTTCTGGTACTTTTTTCAAAATCTGTTTTTGTGGGTGGGTGGGTTTTGTGTGTGTGCTGTATTTTTTGTTGTTGTCTTCATTTAAAACATTTGAGTGCAATGGATCTGAGCAGGTCTGATTTTATGTTTTAGATTACATGAGCCCCGGTCGGCTCTTGCTTGGGTAATCTATATTAAACAGACTTCTTACACTTTTTATTTAGCTCATGATCTTTCTCTTTTTCTGATTGTAGGATTATGAAGCTTTCTTTGAGGCAAGAGAGAATAATGCGGTGTATGCTTTTTTAGGCTTGACTGCGCCACCGGGTTCAAAGGTAGGTATGTTGGGTAGGTGAATTGTATTTCGGACCAGCATATACAACTTTTATCTACCAAGGGATGTCTGTCACTGTGGTGTGTTTTTCACACACGTATTTCTGTGGATCAGGAATACGTTCTCCCTTTGAGGACTTCTGCTTTCAGACTTTGATGGTATATACTGTCATATGTCCATTTATCTGGTGGATTTTGCATTCCCCAAAAGGCTTGTTCCAATTTAGCGCATTGACCTATAACTGCAGTAGTTAATACTGTCTTGGTATTTTCACTGTGGGACCAGTCCTAGTGCTATTTACATTATTGGAAAGTCTTCCGCCAATATCAGTAGCAGGCTGATCGGGTCCTTTGGTGGTATTGGTTTCCTCGTGGCCTTGGCTGTTGTTTTGTTTAGCACCTAAGGCAGCATCCAGATGTGCATGGACATTTGGTTCCCCGGGGACAGCTAGTGGCAGCACACCTTGTGCCACTGCCAGTTGTCCAGGGGGAATGCCTGTGTCGGGTGTACTGGCAGGTGGTTACCCCAGGTGGAGTAGGGGTGGCTGGGGCCAGAAGCCTTACTGCGGGTCCTGGGGGCCTCCCGGAGCTGCAGCAACAGAGATCCTGCTGCACAGAGCCTGGCCAGCAATGGTGTGTGGCTCTGGCTGGCCAGACTCCGGCTTCAAGTGGTATATGTTGCCACTGTGTGTGCTGCTCTGTTTTTTATTTATTTTTATCCCCAGGTTTTTTTGATCCCTGGATGTCAAAAAACCTGTCCGTGCTGCTCTGAAAACTTTGTGTTCTAATACTTTTCAATGGAAAACTTGGTGAAAAAACACTGAAATAAATGGAAATGGATTACTTTTGAAAATAAACAATTCATTAAAAATATTTGTCAACAGAATGCGTCTTGCCAGTAGTTTTTGCAAGAGACTTGTCACAGATAAAGTTAATATCATTAAAAAGATTTTCTTTTTTCTGCTGTATGAAGCTGTGCATTCTCTTTACCAGTTATACACTTGATTGCTGTAAGATGGATGCACCAAGGTGGAATTGTGCCTTTGATTTTGATAGAACAGGACAGGAATGTTTTATGCATTTCACTTGAGGGTCTTAGGAGCCCTGAGTCACCTCCAGTCTTCTCATTCCCATGGGTAAACATGCCACCTTAAACTTTGTAAGGAAACCTGAAATGCTCTGTTTTGCACATATTACTCAGGGGCCTGAGTTAAAAGTAGTTCATGATCAATTCTTATTAAAAGTTGCAAGTTGGACTGACTCAAATCTGGGGACCAGATTTTTGCCCCTGGGCTAACTGCATTGGTATTAATGGAGGTACAACAGTGATAAATAAGGCCTATTTTTTCTTCGGTACTTTCTTTCTGAAACCTAACCTAACTCCAGTTTCAGAGCAACAAAACAGATACTTGGATGCAGTTGTGGGGAAAAATGGTTCTCTTGGTCAGTATAGCTGTTTGTTACTGTAGTATACTTCAAAGAAAAGATCACTTAAAGAGGAACAGACTTTTAGTTTTTAACCCTTACGCTGCCTTTTTAGGGTTCAAGGGAGTGTTGATCACAAGTCTAATCTCCAACTTGCCAAAAGTTTTGCTGTTAGCCTGACTTGGCAATTGGGCTATCACTAAATGTTAGCAAATCAAACTGACTGTTGGCTTGAAGGCAAAGCTTGTTTCAAAACATCTCAGGTTTGAGCACATTGCAGGTAGAGAATTGCTCCTTGCAGCTTGGCTGTATTTTCTGACAGCTATCTATGTAATTCCTGTGAACAGCATTCAGTAAAATGGAAGGAGATAGATATTGAACCAAGCTACAGGCAGTCCTCAGACTTATGACACAATTGGTTCCTGAAAACCGCATCTTAAGTTAAAACGTTGCAACTCAGAACCGATTTTTCCCCATAAGAAACAGTGTTATAAATGGGGGATTGCTTCCTGAACCAAGGCCTGATAACTTATTTTCACCAAAAATAACACAGAATTTTGTACTCAGTCAATTATAGATGAGTAAAATAGCTACATTAATGTGTGTATATATATATTGTAAATAGCAATCCTATTGATTTGGAAAGACTTCTTTGAGATGACTTTGCTGGACTTTTTGAAAGGTTCTTGGCTGGAGTCTGCTCAGGAGTCTTGGCTGCATGTTTTTCTGGAGTCTTGTCTGCTTTCTTAAAGGCAGTGTCCAAGGCAACACAGCATACTTGTTTGCTGGCATGGCGCGGTGTCAGATCAAATGTTATAAAGTCGAAACTGACGTCATAAAGTTGAAACAGGGTGTCAGTTTGTAAACATTGTAAGTGCGAAACGTTGTAACTCGAAACGTAAGTTGAGGACTGCCTGTAATGCTGAGGAGATGCACATTTTGATAGCGCACTGTAAGGTTTTATGAGGTGTCTGGAAAATGTGTGACGGGTGGTATTGAGAGTTGTTTATGAAAAAATTAATAGAAGTTGGAGCCAAACTCTAGAAATGATATTAGAAATACAAACAGGTATTTACTGAGCATCAGTGATTTGTTTAGTGCTCTCTACAGTAAACAGAAATAAGTCAAACAAAAACCACTTGATAAATACTGTAATTAACCAGACTTCCAGGGGTTCAAGTTTCTTAAATATACAGAATGGGCGAATTAAAGCTTATGGCTAGACATAAATAACTGACAGTGTACTCAGTGAGTGTCCTAATGGGAATGTTCTAAGGAAGGATTTGAAAGGAAAGAATATCACACCTTCTTAGCATCTTGCAGAATTGGATTCAGAAATAAGGAATTGATATAGTCTGTAGGAGAAATGGATCAGTATGTTTACTATGGAGGGAGCTTTGGGATACTTTTTTTTTTTTCCTTTTTCCCCAAGAGGGCTGCTGTGAGGTAGCTTGCCCTCCCTCATAAAACACTGTTTTTGGTGCTTTTTTACCCTCTGAGAAGAGAGGCTAGATTTCATTCCTGTAGCCTGTTTGGCCACGGGGACTTGATTGGAAGGGGCAAGAATCTCACTTGGCTCTGCATTGCAGTACAAGTATCCCTGCCCTATAGAAAACATGGCCCATCATTTTCCTTCTTTGCTTCCTTGCCCACCTCTACTAGTGTCACACCTTCCTCTCTGCTTTCCTCATAAAAATATCTTTTTGTGTGAGTGTACTGCTTGGGTAACTCATGTCACGGGATGATTTGATGTGTACCTTTTTGCCTGTAACATGTGGCCATTGTAGCAGAATGCACCCCCTCAATTTTTTGTAGACCAGTCGGTGGTTGGAGCTATGGTATTCCCACACTCTAGGTCTTGGAAGCTGCAAGATGAGATGGTCTTTTTGCCATTTGTCTTAGTGACCCACCAAATACAAGTTAACGGAGATGTGTGGAGTGTTCCTCCTTCCTCCTCGGGTAGAAGTCATTCACTGTAGCTCATCTCTTTATTTGAGAAATGGTTGGGGTTTTTTTGGCTTACTAGAAATCCCATGTTTTCAGACTATCCACTTATTTATTTTGTGAATTTGTAAACCAGTTGTAACTGTTCAGGTTTGGGATGGTTTAGATAGGGAGCCTTGAGCAGAGGTTTGGACTAGACCCTCCAAGATCTCTCCCAACCCCTATTGCATATGATAGTCTGGACTTGTCAAAAGAACTCTGTTTCTATTAGGCATCAAAATGGGGCCAGATTTTACAATCACACAGCACACTAAATGCTGGGCTTTTTTAGAAGAGTATATAATAGTTAACCAGCCTCTTCTCACTACCTTGTAGCATTAATTCTAGAAGATTTGTAAAATTTCTCCAAAAACCTGTTGATATTTTTTTTCCACAGTGCAATTGCTTTAATTTTTTTCTACAGTTTTTTCCTAAGCATCTTGGCTGACCATTGTACCTCAGAAAGCCTTTGTAATAGTCTTAGATTGTTATTAAAATACAGTTTTGTAACCTGACATGAATTAAAACAATTAACCCCGCCCCACCCCCAAAAAAAAAACAAAAACAAAAAACCAACCAAACAAAAAACATAATGGTACATACCACTTTTTATTTTATGCTTGCATGGTCAGACCTCACCTGTTTTACCATGGTCTGGAAAGCACCATAGCTAGTTAGTCAAGAGACTATGAATACTTGTAACTTCTATTTCAGTTTAGTAGAAGTTGAGGATACCTAGAACTTTACAAGATTGGACCCGTAGTAATTTAGGGCAATTTAAGTCACTGGAAGATATTTGTTTGACTTAAAAATTAGCAGCACTGAGCTTTTTGGCCATGTATTACTAGGGCTTTTTATTGCAGTACAGATGTCCACACCTCGTATGTAGTTATATAAAATGTACCCATTTAATTTTCTGGGAATGTCTTAAGCAGGGGTAGGCAACCCCTGTTATGTGTGCCATGCTCATTTTGCTTGGCATGCGCTCCTTAGGGAAAGGGCTGGGGCTGCACTGCCACAAGGACTGGGTCCCTCACGGCTTCTTCATCATCTGCCCCTGGCATGCCAATTTCTTACAAATCAAGGTTCAGAGTGGATTTTTTGTTTTGTTTTGTTTTTTTGGCACTGTGCCCAAAAATGTTGTTGACCCCTGATTTTAATAGTAGTTGTATGCACTGGACAGAAGTCCCTGAACTAGGCCCTCTCCAATCCTTCCAACTATTTTTACCTGCATCCATTATATAAGAAAGTATGGGTTGTAACCTCTGATAAAATAATAACATTTAATTCTTATTTTATTGTTTCAGGAAGCTGAAGCACTGGCAAAGCAGCAAGCATGAACATCAACTGCCTTAAATGTTCTGTAAAGGGAATTTTCACAGCTTTTTATAAAATAGTAAAATTGTTTCTGCTTCAAGAAAAATGGATATAATTTCTAATATTTTGATTGATGCAAATTTTGAATACAAGAAAAAATGTGAAAATTAGGGTAAAGAGCATGGAATACGCTATTACAAAGTTGAAGGTATAACAAAATGAAGCAACTGGTTTAAAGTGATTTAAAAATCAGGTCTTGGCAATGGTGTCCATTTTGTGCAAATTTAAGGGGAAATCCTGATTTTTAATATGAACAATAGAGATACAATTATACCCAGTGGTCCAACTATTTAAAAACAGGGAAAAGGAACAACAGACATAATCTTATCTGATAACTCTAGTGCCTGAATTGCCTCATGTTACTGAACAATATATGAATACAGTAATTTTTCAATGTCTTTTTAAATTGTGGTTGAAAATTTAAATTGTAGATGTGTAGTATAGTAACCTTCCTAAGCTCTTAGATGTATTTTCTTTTTGTAGGATGGATATTTTAAATTGTATTGTGGCACAC